AATCACTGCTCTGTTGTTCACAGGGAGCTACAGAGGCCTAGCATTAGGTTGTAGCCTTGGACTCTTCTTTAGAGTGAGAGGTTCTGGGCAGGGGTCAGAGTTCAGATTCTGAATAGCTGCAGCTAGGGAGGTAGATGTGAACTTGGGAAAGGAGGGCCACAGAGTCCCAGATTGATGCGGGGTGGAGGGGATTAGTCAGAAAGATGGAGTCAGGGGCGAGAGGACATCCAACCTGAGGCTGTGTGTGTTGGGTATATGCCCAACACACAAAAAAAGCATTGGTGGAGGGCCTCTGTCCTTTTCACCGTGGGATAAGCCTGTGGCTTTGGCTGGAAGTGAAGTAGGTGAAATTGGTAGGAGTTGTTCTCGAGGGCTGGGGCTGGTGCAGGAGCAGCCAGTTTGAAGAAAGAGAAACAAGAAAGGAAAGGAAAGAAAGAGATAATAGTAAACTGGGTGCCTACACTTGGAAAGCAGAGCTGGGCCACATTTGGCATTTAAGGTGTTAACTTATAAAATAGTGTGTAGAAATGGCATGCAAATAATGGCTTGGGGGATTTGGGTACACACAGACCAGTGCAGTATGGGGTGTGGCAGAGATGTCTGATGGCAGGGTGGCCCCAGTGGGAATCTGCACCTTACTTCTCTCTTCCTTTTCTAAAAGTTACCATCGTCAAATGCTAAGGAACCTTCCACGTTCCGGTTGAGTCAGTCTTTGGGACCCAGGCTGGAATGAGGTCTGAGGTGACCATTTGTTGAATAAAGGAATGCATGGAAGCCTGCGACCATGTGGCTGCTGTAAAGTCAGAGGCACCTGCTCCTGGCCATTCCCTTTGTTTAGTCCTTGGATCTGTGCATAGCACTGGCTCACACAGCAAAGCTTTGGGCATTCCCAGGTTCATATTCAGCTTCTGGTTTCTGAGCCTTTCTTCCCAATACCCCTGATAAGGGGTGGGTTTTTTCGTCATCCTTGTTTTCCTGGCTGGCATCTATTCCCCTTGTGTGCCTGCCCTACCAAGTAACTTCTGGGAGTCTTGGAAGAACTGATTCAGCTCTTAAGCAAGTTCAGTCAGCTATTAGTTGGCGCCTATTGTTTTATTTTTCTGCCAGATTATTACTGTGTCTACCAGGAACAAACACAAGTGTATGTTGGATGCCTTCAAGTGCTGAGATGATATCCCAGTATCATATAGAGTATGTTTCGCCCACCCCAGTTCAGTCTATGCCTTCTTGCAGCCCTTTTTCCCTGAGAACAAACATAGCTGGAAGGTAAAGGAAGCTGAACATACCTGTGTGAGGTTTCTGCTACTAGGCCAGACTCCCTGTACCCTTAGGGTTTGTTTTTACCCAGGAGGCTCTTCGATCCTTTATGCAAATACATTTCTGAGCCTGCCTCAACGGTGATGGTCAGCTTGTGATCCAGCCAGGATAAGCTCCCCTTCCTCCACCGTACTGTAATTTCACTGAGAGATGAGTAATTTCAGTCTGAGGGGCTTCGAGGCTACTGACTGGGGGGTGGGCTGCCCTTCCACCTATTGTGACCGCCTTCCCCTGGTTTCGTGGGTCCTGTGGTCCTGCAATAAGCCATGGCGATGAGGTTGTGAGAAATGTGGACTTGATCATTATGGCAGACCTTACTTTAAATAGCTTTGAAAATACCAGGTTTATAGCCCTAGAATCAGGAGGAGATGGCCTAAGATGTACAGCTCTACATTTTGATTTCTTTTCTCTCTTTTTTTTTTTGAGATGGAGTTTTGCTGTTGGAGTGCAATGGCACGATCTCGGCTCACCGCAACCTCCACCTTCTGGGTTCAAGCGATTCTCCTGCCTCAACCTCCTGAGTAGCTGGGATTACAGGCATGAGCCACTATACCTGGCTAATTTTGTATTTTTAGTAGAGAAGGGGTTTCACCATGTTGGTCAGGCTGGTCTCGAACTCCCGACCTCAGGAGTTCTCCTGACCGAACTCCTGACCACCTGCCTAGGCCTCTCAAGGTGCTGGGATTACAGGTGTGAGGCATGATACCTTCTAAGGTATTTGCCAATTTAGGAGGCCGCAGAAGTCCTGAAGACCGGTGCTGGATCACTTGTGATTGTAATGTCATTATTATTACCTCCTAATACGAGAGGGCTACCTATAGTCACTCAGCCTGTAAGTGGCAGGATGGACAGAGTTCAGGTCACTGAAAAGGCCCAATTGCCTCCAGAGGGAATGAACAGGAGGAGGGGCCATGAGGTGGGCCTGGGGAACAGTAGGAGGCTCCCCATGCCCAGCCCCTTTGGTGGAGAGCCTTCTGGGAGAATGAGTCCAGATCAGACATAGTCCGGCTCAATGTGGCCCTGCCTGGTGGCATTGTGTGCCCACCTATTTCCTCCTCCCTCCCTGCTCTGCTTGAGGGGCACCCATGGGCTCAGTGCTGTGGCATCTGAAGTGACACAGAGCAGCGTGGAGGCCTGCTCATTCGGCACAGTCAGGGTGAGGCCCAAGGGGGGAAGGTGCATGGCTCACCTGCAGTATGAGTGTGCCTCAGTTCCACAGCTGCTGAGCTGCTCGCTTGCCTGTTCTCCTAAGGCTCAGCAGCGCTTGGGAGAAGCCAGTCAGCCGTTTAAGGAGAGGAAAGAGGCCTTGACTGGCAGCCTGGAGACCTGGGCTGCAGACCTGGATCTGTCACTTTTCAGTTGCTTGAACTTGGTGAAGCCGCTTTACCTGTGGTTTCAGTTTCCTTACCCCTGAAATGATGGGGTTGCTTGAGAGCCTCTCTCTTCAAAGTGTCTCAGGAACCAGTAGCAGCAGCACGGCCTGGGAGCTTGTTAGAAATGTGGAGTCTCAGGCCCCTCCCCAGACCTAATGAATCTGAATCTGTAATTTATTTATTTATTTTTTTTTTGAGACAGGATCTCACTCTGTCACCCGGGTGGAGTGCAGTGGCACAATCATGGCTCACTGCAGCCTCAACTACCCCAGGCTCCAGTGATCCTTCTGCCTCAGCCTCCCAAGTAGCTGGGATTACAGGCATGTGCCACCATGAGTTTCATCATGTTGCCCATGCTGGTTTCAAACTCCTGGACTCAAGTGATCCACCCACATTGGCCTCCCAAAGTGCTGGGATGACAAGCTTGAGCCACAGTGAATGTGCAGTTATCAAGATCCCCAGGTGATTTGCATACAGTTGGAGGAGCATGGCTCTGTGGTTTTTAAGATGTAATCCCAGCACTTTGGGAGGCCGAGGCGGGCGGATCACGAGGTCAGGAGTTCGAGACCAGTCTGGCCAACATGGTGAAACCCTGTCTCTATTAAAAATACAAAAATAAGCCGGGTGTGGTGGCGGGCGCCTGTAATCCCAGCTACTCAGGTAACTGAGGCAGGAGAATCATTTGAAACCAGAAGGCGGAGGTTGCAGTGAGCCAGGATTGTGCCACTGTCCTCCAGCCTGGGTGAAAGAATGAAACTCCTTCTCAAAAACACAAAAACAAAAACAAGATGGTTTCAGGGCTCGTGTCCTCTAATTCTGTACTATAAGGAGTCTCTGAGTGGTGTCCTCATAGATGCTTAGGTACGGAGCAAGCCTTGCCCTGGAGGGATTGCCCTGCAGTTTCCACATGCACTGTCTAGGTGGCCCTGTCAGTTTCACTTCTTAAATGTGGTTGCTGGGTGGTCAACGATAAATTCCAGGAAATCCTCCTCTGTGGGCCTCCCTTTTCTTCCTGCAGGCTAATTTAGTGACTACTAAGTAATCCGTGGGGACTGCATTTAATTCACCCCTTACTCCTATGATCACAGATTTATTCTATTGTCATCCTGCCAAACAGCATGACCTCTAATTGGGTCGAACAAAGGCTCTATATGGAGAACCATCATATATGCATTTAACTTGCAGACTGACAGCCCAAGTGTGGAGAGAGGATGACGTAAACAGTGCGGGAAATTCCCTAGAGTGAGTGTGACATGTAAGGTCGGAACCTGCTGCTCAGCCACTCTCAGCTCCTTCAGTCTCTCTTAGATGTACACATGCGCTGTGGCCTAAGTGTGATCCTGGTTTTTTAAGATTTGCGTATTTTAAACAATGTGGCTTCTACTCAGTGAAAGCCAATGATTGCATTTGGTACCCAAAGAAAACAGAAAACGGTTCCACTTCTAGAATTAAAACAAAACAAAACAACTATGCTGGTCTCATTAAGAGAAGTCATGTGGCCTCCAACAGAATGTCTTCCCAAGGAATTTTTCAGAGTGATTTTGATTAGACGTGACTTTTCCTTCCCTGTGAACTTCAGAACCCCAAGTAAGAGGCTCTGGCCCCTCACGGTGTACAGTCAGCTCAGACACAGCAAGAAACTTCGAACTGGGAAGATGGAGAGGATTACAAGTGAAGGTGGTTGGGGGAGATTCTGAGTAGGAAGGAAATCTTTCTTCTTAATTCCAAATGTTCTTTTGTGATAGCTCTTTGGGTTTCTGAGTCCAGCTCAATTCAGAGATACTAGGCTGGTGGCAGAGCACAGAGATGCCAGAAGATTTCATGGTGTCAGGATAACCTGTGCTCTGTCTTTTTTTTTTTTTTGAGGCAGAGTCTCACTCTGTCGCCAGGCTGGAGTGCAGTGGCATGATCTCGGCTCACTGCAACCTCTGCCTCCTGGGTTCAAGCGATTCTCCTGCCTCAGCCTCCCAAGTAGCTGGGACTACAGGCGTGCACCACCATGCCCAGCTAATTTTTGTATTTTTAGTAGAGACGGGGTTTCATCATGTCGGTCAGGACCATCTCCACCTCTTGACCTCGTGATCCACCCACCTCGGCCTCCCAAAGTGCTGGGATTACAAGCGTGAGCCACCGCGCTCGGCCTTGCTCTGTCTTCATCACACTGTGTTCTACGTGTTCCTTCCCTGGAGGCACTGTACTGAGTGCAAGATTACAGGATTTGCACCAAGGCAGGTTAAACAAATGGGAAGAGGATATCCTAAAACTAGGAGAACTGTTATGAGATCACGAAGACTCGCAAATATGTCCTGCTACATGAAAACAAAGGCCAAATCTCCTTCTTTATTTAGGTAACCACCTCGTACCATGAAAGATCGGAGGCAGCTTATAAGAGACACATACACTTTAAGGGCGAAATATAAATAAAAAGTACAAAATTAGACCAGGGGAAATATAAATTAGTGGGGCAGGTCGGGCTCTGGTGGGTCACGAAGCAGAGCACATCTATGTGGTTAGCCTATGAGGCCTGACTCTCAGAGTTGCTCTCCTTGGGCTGGACTCGACCAGCTGTAACTTAAGATAAGAACAGTCCTGCCCTTCAGGTCTCAAATGAAAGACACAAGGACAGCATAGCAGAGGCCTGGCTGGCTTGTCAGAAAAACACGCAGGGGGTTTCAGTTGGCTAAAAGCTCAATATGAGCCATTGCATGGCCAGGCTGTGCAAACAAGTGGAGCTGCACTAATAGTGCAAAGTGTGGCCCCACTGAGGAGGAGAGAATCCTCCCGCCCACAGCACTGACTGCACGTTCACGTTTGCAATCAACACGTTGGAATATGTCGGCATGTGCCAACTGGTCAGTATCAAAGGGGAGATACGGTGGAACCCTCCAGGAGCTCACACAGTCTGTCCAAAGAGCCAATGAGGAGAAACAGCAACAATCCTGCTTGACATGCGCTCTCAGGAGATCCCATTTGGACTTTGGTGCTTGTGCTTGGTTCTCATTGTTTTTCTAAAGGGAAGAAAGTTCTTCTTCACAAGAAGAACTGCAAAGGATGAGACTTCTCTTTTGGTGTCTAAGCCCCCGGCAGGGCTCCTGCCATAAAAACTTGATAGCTACTAAGGCCCTTCATAAAGAGCTGGGACAGCAGCAGCCATGTCAGATCTGGTGCAGAGATGCTGGGCTTGTGATGGAGCCTGGAACCTGCCAGAAGCCTGGCATCACGGCCGTTCTCGGGCATCCTGGTAAATACTTTGAAAGCCTCAGCATTGCAGCCTCTCGTTCCTCCTGGATGCTGTTAAAGGGTGTGCTGTAAAGGGAGGGCATCTCCTTGAATTGATTCTCCTCCATCAGATGGGACCTGTGTTGAACAAAGGAAGATAAAATGGATCAGCCCCCAACCCAAATCCATCAATTTCAAGCCTGTGTGTGTGTGTGAAACCAGCATAGTCTTTAGAGTTGCCAGATGTAGGTTTGAATCCTAGAGCAGCCTCTCCATGGCACTGGTACCTTGGGCTAGCCCTGAAACCACACGAGACTCAGCTTCCTTTGCTTGCAAAATGGAAATGTGAATCCCTCACTCATAGAGTTGTAAGCAATGAATGAGATCATGAAAATAAGTGATTGGCTTAATAAATACCAAGATTCTCATCAAATCTTAGTTTCCTCTCCTTGCCGTTCCTTGCAGGCAAAGCTGATGCCTACCTCTCTCTGTTCGCTGGCTTCTGCCTCAACCTCTGCCTTGGATGTGATCACAGGTTCATCTTCATCTATCACTTCAGCATCTTCTTTTCCTCTCTGCTGCCTTCCTCTTCCACTTACTGTCTTGCTCAATGTTCTATATCCTTTCCCTAAAAATTCCCACCTTAGCACGGTTATGCCAGCAGGTGACTGCTCTACCCTCTTAATCTCTTCACCAAATACTTTGAAGATGAATCTGCATTCACTCCTCACCCATCTTCAACCACCCGATAAGTAGCATCATCTGATTTCTATCCCCACCATTTACTGAGAAAGGCACATTGCCAGGTCTGCCTAGCTGCCTTTCCTTAGGCTTCAGCCTTTTTTTTGGTGGCTTTGAAGCGTTTGATGGTCAGTTCTCCTCACTCTTGATAAGATGTCCTTTGTCCTCTTTGCCACTGGCATAACGTCTCTTCCTTATTATTACTGGGAACTTCCATTTGGGCTCTTCCATCTGCCTTCATTTTCCCGTTCCCCACATGCAGGCATGGCTCAAGGTTCTGACCAGGCTCCTATAGGAAACATACATGGCTAGGCCAGGGGCTATGTCAAATGTTTTCTGTAAAGAGCCAGGTAGTGAATATCATAGGCTCTGCAGGCCACATGGTCTGTGTTACCTGCCACTCTAGCATGAAACAGCCATAGATAATATGCGAGTGAATGAGTCAGGCTGTGTTCCAATAAAACACTATCTACAAGAACAGGAGGTGGGTCAGACTTGGCCCATAGCTTGTAGTTGCCTACCCCTGGTCTTATGGAAAGAGCATAAACCTGGTTTTATAATCAGATATAGCTGGTTTTACAGTCTGGCTCGATCACTGCCTAGTTCCATTATGTCGGGCAAGTTACTTAACCTCCATACACCTTATTATCCTTACCTGTAAGAGAGGGGAATAATAATGATGATGATGATGATAATACTTTCCTCATGGCCTTGTTGACAGGGTGAAATGGGATAATGTGCAACCCTAGGGCCTGGTTCAGTGAATCTTAGTGTTCTTTTCTCCTTTCTTCCTCTCTCCCTCCCTTCCTTCCCCCGCTCCCTCCCTTCCCTCCCTCCCTCCCTCCCTCCTTCCATTCCTTCCTTCCTTCCTTCCTCCCTCCCTCCCTCCTTCCTTCCTTCCTTCCTTCCTTCCTTCCTTCCTTCCTTCCTTCCTTCCTTCCTTCCTTCCTTCCTTCCTAACTCTCCCAATCCCTTTTCTCTCTACCTCCTCACCCTCTGTAATCTCATCCACATGTTTCTCACCCCTAACCTCTCCCTCCACATCTGATCTTTCTTCTGAGTTTAAAATCTGCACATTCAATGCCAGTTAGGTAGTTCTGCTCATACACCATTTGCATATCAAACTCTGCATGTTCAAAAGAATATGAATCATCGTAAACAAACTCATGCCTTCTTCTGACCCCCCTCATTCCAGGCCCCGGGGGCACTTTCTGAAGTCTTTGACAATGCCACCCCTGACCCACTGTGGAACAGGACAGGCTGTTCTCCACTCGTGCAGTCTCTGCTCTTCTCCTCTCCCCTCCATGGCCATCATTTCAGCTTGAGCCCTTTTATTACCTGCCATCTGAGCTTGCTGAATGACCTCGATGTCTTTCAGCTGCTTCTCCCTCATCCATTCTGCACATGATGCTGAGTTACTCTTCTACAAAGTTTGATGATGCTGCTCTCTGGTATGTGACGCCATTGAAGGCTCCTCCCTCCTTGCCTAGTGTCAGAATCCTCATCTGGCGATCAAAGTCCTGCACAGCCAGCGCTGAAGACCCCGACCCCCAGACAAATGTGCCTGCTCAGCTTTTCCTGGACAGCCTAATTGTTTCGTTTCTGCAGTCCTTCCTTTTGCCTGGACTGCCCCTCTCCCCACCACTCACCACTGCTTGTCCCTGTGCCATCTCTGCTTGTCACGTTCTTACCTGTTCCTCAGGAGCCTGGCCAGAACCACACACAGCACGCTTCCCCCAGCCAGGAGGTTTCTGTGCCTCCTCTCAGCGTTCAGAGCCCTGGCAAGACTGTGCTTATCTCCCACAATGCATTTTCCCATGGAAACTTGGTGAAGTATCATGCACATGCTTTATCTCTTGCCTTACATTAAAAATCCCTGGAGAGATTAGAGAAACGTTTGCTCCTCCACACAGCCCTGGCACCGTGTCTACGTGTGGCATGACTCGTTGAGCAGGAGAGGAGGGCTTTTTACCAGGCTCACCTTTGAGCTGACTTGGCAGCTCCACTGGCCTCCTCTGTGGGCAGAGGGGAGAGGCTGCCTGTTGGAAAAGTCTAAGTGGAGGAACAAGTTTCAATTTCCAAGGCTCAAGGCTGTGAGCCTTCCATGCCTTTTGGTTTTGGTTGGGGTGGGAGCAGGTGTGTTTGTTTCTGTGTGTGTTTCTGGGTGTGTGCGTGGTAGGTGTGAGTGTGTGGGGAACGTGTTTGTGTGTGCATGAACACATGTGTAGTAGAAGAGGGTGTGTGTATGTGTGTGGAGTGTTGGTGCGTGTGTATTCTTCGGGTGTGTAGTCTTGGACACCCTATTAAAAAAGGACAAGAGTCTGCATCTGACTTAGCCTGGGGACTTCCCTTTATCTGCAGGAAATGACCAAGAAGTGGAAAATGGAGAAAGAAAAAATCTGAAAATACAGCAACCAAGTGGTAAAATGAAATGGCATTCTGTCTCTCTCGGAGCACAGTTGGTCTATAAAAGTGAGCCACAGCCGGGCGCGGTGGCTCAAGCCTGTAATCCCAGCACTTTGGGAGGCCGAGACAGGCGGATCACGAGGTCAGGAGATCGAGACCATCCTGGCGAACATGGTGAAACCCCGTCTCTACTAAAAAGTACAAAAAAACTAGCTGGGCGAGGTGGCGGGCGCCTGTAGTCCCAGCTACTCGGGAGGCTGAGGCAGAGGAATGGCGTAAACCTGGGAGGCGGGGCTTGCAGTGAGCTGAGATCCGGCTACTGCACTCCAGCCTGGGCGACAGAGTGAGACTCCATCTCAAAAAAAAAAAAAAAAGTGAGCCACTATAAAAGTGGGTTTCAGCCCTGAAACTTCCTGGGAGGAGCCTCTGAAGTTTAGCGGCCACCCTGCCCCCTTGTCTCTGGAGAACCGCAGAGGCTGTGGGTGGAGGGCTTGCGGGGCAGCCAGGCCCCTGCCTTGTCCTGACCTGTCATGGGACCTCCTCATCTCTGGGGCAGGGTGGGGGCAGGTCCTATCAACCTCATTGTTTTTTTTCTTTTCTTTGGGATGGAGTCTTGCTCTGCCGCCCAGGCTGGAGTGCAGTGCCACGATCTTGGCTCACTGCAATCTCTGCTTCCCGGGTTCAAGCTATTCTCCTGCCTCAGCCTCCCAAGTGGCTGGGATTACAGGCACACGCCACAATGCCTGGCTATTTTTTGTATTTTCAGTAAAGACCCGGTTTCACTATGTTGGCCAGGCTGGTCTCCAACTTCTGGCCTTAAGTGATCCTCTGGCCTTGGCCTCCAAAAGTGCTGGGATTATAGTCATGAGCCATTGTGCCCGGCCTCAACCTCATCCGACAGAGCCTCTGAAGGCTGAGCTAGGAATGTGGGCGTCAGCTCTGAATGCAGGGAACCCACATTCTTCCTTTTTACCCCGCTCTGAGAATGAGAGAACTAGCAAAGCCAGTTACAATCTGCCCGTAAATCATGAATATGTCTGGCGTTGACATGCAGACCAAAGGTTGTAGGCTGTAGGGGAACTGAGATGAGCTGCTTTTCAAATATTTTTTGGCATCAGAAGCTTGTGTTCATGTAAAGTCTTATGTGACAGTTTAATGTGCAAAGCTGCTGAGAGCTCCACTGTTCTGGGTGTAATGTGTGTTGTGGGGTGGGTAGGGCTGCTGGATTCCTGTCCCCTCACTCTCCCCCTTACCCCAGGACCAATTCCCTTCCAGGGACATTGGCAGAGCACAGTTTGAAACCTCCCTTAGAAACCACATCTTTTTTTTTTTTTTTGAGATGGAGTCTTGCTCTGTCGCCCAGGCTGGAGTGCAGTGGCACGATCTCGACTCACTGCAAACTCCGCCTCCAGGGTCCACGCCATTCTCCTGCCTCAGCCTCTGGAGTAGCTGGGACTACAGGTGCCTGCCACCACGCCTGGCTAATTTTTTGTATTTTTAGTAGAGACAGGGTTTCACCGTGTTAGCCAGGATGGTCTCGATCTCCTGACCTCGTGATCCGCCCGCCTCGGCCTCCCAAAGTGCTGGGATTACAGGCATGAGCCACCATGCCCGGCCAGAAACCACATCTTTAACTCTAAAGGGAAGTAAAATGACTCGCCCAAGGCCATGGGGTGGAGGAGGGTTGGGCAGCCCCGTAAGTGAGCAACGTCCTGAACAGCAGGTCTCAGCACACACGAATCTGTCCCTCTGGGCCATCCCTGAAATGTGTCGGGATGGCGGTTCGGTAAAGCATACAATAAAGAACTTATTAAAACTTCCAAAGTTTCTTTGAACCAGGACAAAACCCTGGCATTCTGTGGCAGCATCCATTCTCGTATCTACTGAAAAATCCTGATGTACATTGCCATTAGAATTGATCATAATGCTTCAGGGCCTCACCCTCCGTAATGTGCTGGCTACCTGTGTCGTGACTGACGCTTTATTTAGTCATCACTTGCATAGTGCTGAACAAATATTAATCCACCTAATCTGTGCAACATCCTTATGATGTAGTGGCTATTATTAGCACCATCTCCATTTTACATATTTGGAGTAATGGGGCGTGGAGAGGTGAAGTAACTTGCCCCAAGTCACGTTGCTAGAAAGGAATAAGACTGGATTCAAGCCAGGCAGTCTAGGTATGGCCCATGCTCTTCAACGCTGGGCTACTGAACTTCTGTTCAATGAGGGAAGGCTGTTCAGGGCCCAGAGCCTCACACTGGGGGCTCTGTGTTGTTTGGGCACTTGTCTTGGCTCCCAAAATGGGTTTCAGCTGGTAATAATCGTAACCATAATAATCTATACTGTGGCTGGGGTGGTCTTTTGGAAACATAGGTCCAATTATGTTAAGCCCCTACCTCTGCTTATATCTCTTCAATGGATTCTTATTGTTCTTCAAGTAATGACCAAAATCCTTCAGAAGGCCCTCGAGGCCCTGCGAGACCTGGCCTTTGTCTACCACGGAGCTCCAACTCTTTCCGACATTTGCTCTCTGCCCTTCAATCTCCCTGTCGTCTTTTATTTCCTGTTATCCCAGGGCCTTTGCCCAAGCCATTGCCTCTCCCTGAAAGACTTTCCATTCACCTCCCACCCTTCCTTTGGCATTCAGCCTAACATCACCTCCTCCAGGAAGCCTTCCCTGACTCCATCTTCTGGGTCAGTTTCTCTATTGAATATTCTTGTGGGAGGATGCTCCTCTCCTTCCTAGTGCAGACCTGACTTTGCTATTGTACTTCTGTAAGTGTGAATCTTTGGTGAGTGTCTGTCTTTCTCACCAGATGGTAAAGCCCCCGTGTCGTGTCTTTTTTTTTTTTTTTTTTTTTTTTTAATTGAGACAGGTCTCACTCTGCCACCCAGGCTGGAGTGCAGTGGTGCAATCTCTGCTCCCAGCAGCCTGTACCTCCCGGGCTCCAGCAATCCTTCTGCCTCAACCTCCTGAATAGCCAGGTTTACAGGTGTGCATCACCATGCATGGCTAATTTTTTTGTATTTTTGGTGGAGATGGGGTTTCACCATGTTGCCCAGGCCGGTCTTGAACTCCTGACTTCAAGTAATCTACCCACCTCGTCCTCCTGAAGTGCTGGGATTACAGGCGTGAGCCACTGTGCCTGGTCCATGCGTCTGATTTCTTATCCCCAGTATCTTGCACAGTGCCTGACACATTCCAACGTACCAGCACACAAATCAGGGCCCCTTTTCGCTCTGAAGTTTCATGATGCAAAGTGTGAGTTGACCCCCACCACTACCAATTTGAGAGACACCAAGGTACTTCACATTTGGACTCTGGGTCAGTTAACTCATCCCAGATTATGCATTTTGTATGCTTGACATCTGGTGTAGGAACCACATCAATTGTACGGCCTTTCCCTGCCTTATCTCTTTTTGATCCTTTCAGCAATAAGGGCTGGAACTATTCTCTTCATCTTATAGATGACAATCCCATGGCTCAGAGAGTGTAACCTGGCCACCATCACCCAGCTAACAAGTGTCGAAGATCAGAGTGGGACTGACTGCTCATCTCCTTCTACATCATTTACTAGGTATGGGCTTACCTTACGCTACTGAGATCTCCTAAGTTTGCTGCTCTTTTCTCTGAGTTCTGAGAGTCAGGTGTAATCCCCCACAAAACACACAATCATTGTTTCCTTCTTTCAACTCAGCAACGGCCTTTGCTCTTACTTCTGGTCACGGAGTAAGAAATGGGAGTGCCTGGAAACACCTGCGTGCAGGTTGGGCCCACCTGGGGAGGAGGGTACGGCTGCCCAAAGAACTAGGGCTCTGACTTCAGTCCCCTGGAGAGAGCTGTCCATCTCTAATTCAGCGTTGTCAGGACCCGATCACTCTATCCCTGGGACTCTGTCTTGATGTGAAAAAATCTTACAACTATCTGCCTCTTTGCTTGCACGCAATAGACTGAGGTGTGACGCGCAACTCGGCTGATGAAATCCACGAGGCCGAGGTCCCCTGACTTCTGGGTCTTGGAGACTGGCTGGGCACATGTATTGGCTGCGTGTGTGTGTGAGTGAGGGTGGGGTGGGAACACTGCAGAGAGAGGAGTTGTGTGCACTGAGTGAGCATGGAGGCAAAGTAGTCCCTACCCCCCTTCATGTATCCCATCTGGGCAGGTGGAAGAGGAAGTGAATACGAGGGGCCGTTCTGGGTGGTTCTACTCTGTTTGCTTTTACCATAGCCCAGTTCACACCCCTTCATGCATGCAAGGGCACAAGAGTCATTGGGGAACTTTCCATCCTCTCCCGTGCTAAAGACTTTTCTCCCCAGCAGAGATTCTTCCCAACAGAGAACCCAGATGGGGTCTTTGTCTCCCCAGGTTCCAAGCTAAAGGGATAATTTCCCATTCTGCCTGGTAGGCAGGATCATTCGTGGCCTATCAGGGGTGGAAGGGGCTGTTGAGACTCTCTTCCCAGCCTCCGTGAGGAAAATGGCCCAGAGGAGAAAACACCTGCCCCACGTCCTCTTGGCTGGCCACCCCAGCGGGACCTGAGGCCGGGATCACAGGATCCCCAGTCGGGATGCAGTGTCCGGCTACTTGCTCATGCAGCCTCAGCAGGCCTGGTCTTGCCCCTGCTTGTCCAAGCCTCTCTGGCCACCCTGCCATGTAGGTCTTACGTGCACTCACCTCGTCCCGGCGGGGCTTGCTAGGTGGAAGCGGCAACATGTTGCTGCCCAAGAGCCCCAGGTCCACAGACATGTCTGCATACGGCACCTGCGTCTCACCTCCTCTTCCCATGACCAAACTACAGGTCCAGTTTCTCAGGAGACACCTCGATGTTGAGGGAATACCAGATGACCCAGAACAGTAGGCTGAAAGCCAGGATCAGGGCACCTGTGTAGACGAAGAAGTCCCAGTAACTCAGGGAGGCCAAGATCCCCAGCAGTAAAAAGACCAGGCCGACCACATCCAGCAGGAGGGCGAGGACCAGGAAGAGCACACAGCGCCCTGGATGGCATCTTCCCCACAGACTCCCCAGGAGCATTGCCCAGGAGGAGCCGGAGGAGCCCAGCTGCACTCCCGGGGGTGATTTGCATGGGAGGGTGGCGGTCCTGCCTGCTGCTGCCTTCTCTGCCTGCTGGGTGTGAGCAAATGAGCCAGCCGGCGCGTCTTGGAGCCACAAGGAAGTACACGTGGGTCTTACCTTTATGAGCACGGCAGCCAGTGGGGCAGGATATTTCTTAACTGTTTCATGGCTCAGGAATGATCTGGCCCCAAACAGCCTGACATCCTTGTTAACTGGGCTGGTCATTGCTGGGATCAACAATCCACGTGGCAGAGGAGTCAGGGTGCCCTTGGATGCATCTGCCAAGTCTGTGGTCCCGTGATTCTGGGGGAGGGGCCGTTCTGTGCCTTGTTCTCTAATCTGGGAGCCAGAGAGCCTGAGTGCCCTGTTTCTGAGACACAGCTGCTGTTTCTAGTACAGGGGGGTGGTGTGGCGGAGTTTCCATTCCTCTTCACCTCTCTGCCCTACTCTCTCCCTTGCGGGGAAAGGTTTTATGTAGAGGACACAGACAAGAGTTTGTAACATCGATCGATTTTGAAGTGTTGCTGTAAGAATTGGTCCATATTAGCAAGAGAAAGTTTGCCTTCTTGTAGAGGCCTCGCTCTGCAGACAGAAGGCTCTGAGCTCCCTGGGATCATAGACAGTAAGGATAAGGGCGGGAAAGGGGCAGAGATGGAAAGGACATCTCCATCCACCTCACTTCAGGTCAACCTCACTCGACACAGACATTGAGCATCCAGGGAAATGCCGATTCCTCAGGTTCTGGATCTACTCAAGATTCTCAGTACAGTTGTCCCTTGTTGTCTGTGGGGGATGGGCTCCAGGACCCCTGGGGACCCCAGAATCCACAGATGCTCAAATTCCTTATATAGAACCTTTGCGCAGCTGGGTGCAGTGACTCAAGCCTGTAATCCCGGGGCTTTGAGAGGCCGAGACGGGTGGATTGCTTGAGCTCAGGAGTTTGATACCAGCCCGGGCAACATAGGGATATCCCGTCTCCACAAAAAACACAAAAATTGGCCAAGTGTGGTGGTGTATGCCTGTAGTCCTAGCTACTCAGGAGGCTGAGGCAAGAGGATTGCTTGACCACAGGAGGTCAAGGCTGCAGCAGTAAGCCGTGATTATTCCACTGCACTCCAGCCTGGGAGACGTAGTGAGTGAGATCCTGTCTCAAAAAAAAAAAAAAAAAAAATCCCAAACAAAACCCAAAAAACTACCTATGTACATCCTCCCCTAGGCTTTAAATCATCTCTAGATAACTTATAATACCTAATACAAAGTAAATGCTACGCAAATAGTTGTTACACTGTATTTTCTATTCATGTTTTTGATTGTTGTATCATTATTTATATTTGCGGTTTTTCTGAATATTTTAGGTTCATGGTTGGTTGAATCTGCAGACATGGAACCCCCAGATACAGAGGGCTGACTGTATTACTATTTTTACACACACAAGCACACTAACATACATGTTTCCTGCTAAAATACTATGCCATATTTACGAGCAAAAGGAAGCAAATTGAAACCACTTGCTATTTCAGTATCCAGAGCTAATTAGCACAAACTCCTTGGGATGCATCCTGCAGAACCATAAACATCCTTCTTCCTTACAGAAATGGGCCGCATCATACTCTAAGTTCCGCAGTCTGCGTTCCCTCTCATGATACCTGGCCATTATGGAAAATCGCTAACCATGGCCCCGCTCCAGGTGACTGGCCAGGCTGTGAGGTGCCCCTCCACCTCTGCCCCTGTGTATCTTTCTTACTCTCGTTTCCCAAAGTTACCACTCCTGTGTGTTGAGGCAGCCTCAGTATTTGCACAGCTGAGAGAGACCCACTGGGATGTTTGATGCAAAGCCAGGTGAGTCTGGCGCCCTGGAGGGGGGCAGGCTAGAAAGAAAACAAGGGAGATGAAAGTGAGTAGGGAGGGTGACTCCAAGTGTGGGAACCAGAAACTGCCTGGGCAGAGGCAGGCGTGGATGAGGGGCAGGTGATCAGAGAGCAGTTTGCTCCAGCCCCGTTAGCAAAAAGAACACCACCACCCTCTTCTTCCCACGGAGATCCTTCATGACTTGCTCACTTCCCAAGGCTAGATCCACAGCTGGAAATAGCTGCATGGTTTGCCAGGGCCACCGTAGCAAAGCACCACAGCCAAGGTGGCTCGAACAACAGAAAAGTATCATCTCCCAGTTCTGGAGCCTGGAAGTCCTGAGACCAGCGTGTCTCCAGGGTTGGTTCCCTTGAGGGCTGTGAGGCAGAATGGGGTCCAGGCCTCGGCCCTAGCTCTGGGTGGTTTGCTGGCCATCTGTGATGTTCCTGGCCTTATAGATGCACCACTTTGATCTCCACCTTTATTGTCACATGGCGTTCTCCCTGTGCGTATGTCTGTGTCCACCTTTCCCCCGTTATAAGAAGCATCATCCTGCTCCAGTATGAACTCATCCTAACTAATTAGATCTGCAAAGATCCCACTTCCAAATAAAGTCCCACTCTGAGTTATGGGGGGGTTAGGATTTCAGCATATGAATTGGGAGGACAGAATTCAAGCCACAGCCCATAGCAATAGTTAAAAGTTTTGTTTGTTTATTTGGACATCCTTTGATTTCTAGCCCGTATAGATAGAAAATTTAGACTCTCAAACCAAGTTTTCGGAAAAAAACATAATTGCAAAGTCAGCACCCCATTGATGGTGGCCCACCATGCCACCAGGCACCAGGACAGATGCTTCAACCCCTCCCCGTCTCCCCTGGGGACACTATCTCTGCGTCCCTGGGTGAGAAGCTGAGAAGGTGGGGTCTTCTTGCCCTGCTTGGGTTCTGGCTTCAGTCCTCCCTTCTGTTCACCAGGCCAAAGTGCTCATTCTCCAAGAGTGGATAACCCTAAGTGACCCCTACACATTTTGAAGTTTGAGCTGAAGTGGGATTTAAATTAAACCAATATTATTAGCACCTACTATGGGTCAGGCAGTGGGATCAAGATCGAGTATGATCTTGATCTTGGCCTAACATCACCGAGATAACACGCTAAGAGTGGAGGCGATAATTAACACATGAATGATATAATTTCAGATTATATTGCAATTTAATAATTTCAGAAAAAATTGCAAGAACAGGGAAGTATAAGACAGTGGACATCTGTTGCATTCCTCTGGACGTTTGCTTTCTGAACCATAACACAGTGTGGAAGACACAGGCGGACGCCTAGCCCCTGGCCTGTAACTTCCAGTTTGGTCACCGAGGGCCCCTCTGCCTCTCTCCTTCTGAGATTTTTGCTGGGCTTTTGGGGCTGCAGCCACCCCTGTGCCTCTGAGAGGTCTGTCTTTCTGCTGCTGCCTCACAGCTCTGCCTCTTCTCGGCAATTGAGACTTTGTCACTCCCATGGCAAAGTCATCATGATTTGTCATCTGTGATGTCACCAGATGACAGCCTCTCCATGACCTGGATCCTAAAGGGCAGGTGACTGAGACCAGGATGGACTAGCCAGGTGCTCAGCTGACCCAGCGTCACAGATCCCAGACCTGACTGTATGAATGACAAAAGCCCTATCCCCTCCTGGGTGGCAGGCATAGAAGGTGGGCGGGTCTAGCCATACTAGTCCGTTCATTAGGCCTGCCTGCCTTTTCATAAGGCCTACAGAGCTTAGTAGAGTGCCTGGCTGTACCACTCACCTGCTATGTGACCTTGAGCCAGGCCAGTCACTTACCCTCTCTGTGCCTCAATTTCCTCACAGGGTTACTGTGAGGCTTAAGTGAGTTCATGAGTGTGAAGTGCTCAGAACCTGCCCTCTGTAAACAGGGACAAGTGTTATTGTTGTGGTTGCCACTGGGATCTTTACATTTCTGCCATGATGCTTCCGTAAGGAGAACCCCAGGTTGGAAGGCATCCATCCGTGACTCTCTGGCACCATCCTTTTCTCCCCTTTACCAACCTTGGCTTCACTTGGTTGCAGTTGCCCATCCCTTGGCCTCCCCATACTACCCTCACTAAATCTATTAGGACGTGCAGTGCCATCTCACCATTCTTAGGTACAAATCCTTTATTTTCATGAAATCCCCTTCCCAGACCCATTTTATCCTTCAGATCCCTTACCTCTACCAAAGTGGCTCTTTATCTTCACCATCCTCAAATCCCTCAACGCTCCCTACTCTCATAATCCAGTGTTTATCAAGCCTCACTTGTTGTCTAAGTGTACCATCCCTGCAATCTACGTCTCTTACTTATTATAGAATATTATATTCGTTTGTTAATATTATATTATTTTGTTAAATTTTAGAAATGGATTTGTTGTCTCTACTAAAAAAATACAAACAAATTAGCCGGGCATGGTGGCTGGTGCCTGTAGTCCCAGCTACTCGGGAGGCTGAGGCAGGAGAATGGCGTGAACTCGGAGGCAGAGCTTGCAGTGAGCTGAGACTGTGCCACTGCACTCCAGCCTGGGTGACAGAGCGAGGCTCCATCTCAAAAAAAAAAAAAAAAAAATGGATTTGTTAAAACTGGAATCAGTTATTGTCACCATCAGTGAAACACTGGTGTGACTTAGACAGAAAGTACTCGGGAATAAATACACTGAACACAAAACAATTGTAATTAAATCAGACCAGGGGTACTCAAACTTTTTCTGTATTGGGCCAGATAGTAAACGTTTTGGGTTTTGCAGGCAATCCTGTTGGTCTCTGTTACAACCATTCAACACTGTCATTATAGCGTGATATGGTTTGACTTTGTGTCCCCACCCAAATCTCATCTCAAATTATATTCCACATAATTCTCGTTATCCCCACCTGTCAAGGAAGAGACCAGGTAGAGGTAATTGGATCATTGGGGTGGTTTCCTCCATGCTGTTCTTGTGATAGTGAGTTCTCACAAGATCTAAGGGGCTCATCCCCCTTTGCTGGGCACTTCTCCTTCCTGCTTCCTTGTGAAGAAGGTGCCTTGCTTCCCCTTCCCCTTCCACCATGATTGTAAGTTTCCTGAGGCCTCCCCAGCCTTGCTGAGCTGTGAGTCAATTAAACCTCTTTCCTTTATAAATTACCCAGGCTTGGGTATGTCTTTATAGCAGTATGAAAACAGACTACTGCATGGTGGAAGAACCAGAGATGAGATGTAAATGAATAACTGTGGCTGCGTTCCAATAAAACTTTACTGTAATCCCAGCACTTTGGGAGGCTGAGATGGGCAGATCACCTGAGGGTTAGGAGTTTGAAAGCAGCCTGTCCAAATGGTGAAAACTTGTCTACTAAAAATACAAAAAATAACTGGATGTGTTTGCCCATGCCTGTAGTCCCAGCTACTCAAGAGGCTGAGGCAGGACAATCGCTTGAACTAGGGAGGTGGAGGTTGCAGTGAGCCGAGATCGCACCACTGCACTCCAGCCTGGATGACAGAGTGAGACTCCAGCTCCAACAAAACAAAACAAAACACCTTTACTTACAAAACCAGGCAGTAGGCCAGATTCGCTGATTTCCAGATTAGACATTGTTGCCTACTGAAATTGCTCTCTTTCTCAAATAAAGGCTGAAGACTCACAGAGTTTAGAGAGGTAGATAATATCACCAACCAGCGGCTTTGTCTTGGAAGTCATAGGAAAGATTGAATGAAAACTGAAATGGCTATGCCTTTTAATGTGAGCCTGTGTGCCAGCTGAAATCACTTCCCATACTGCCAGGGATGTAGTGCCAGAATTTGGAAAAATGTTGACCCTGATCAACGCTCTCCAATCAATCTTCATTTACTCCTCCTTTTTCTCAGGGTG